CCCCTTCTCTCTAACCCTTACTACTCCTAGACATCGATATACCTCATCCTCCTACACCTTCCCTCCTCCCCCCCACCCCCCCCCCCCTTCATATGGACCCATCTTCAAGACATTAGTGAGATTACAACCTATTTCCACAAGTATTTCAAGCTAGGCGGCTCATAACTGGTTTCATGTGCTCTACCTCATCCTTTTGGCCGGTGGGTGTTGCCTCCCCTGCAATTGGAACATGACATCAGAGCAAACCCTCGGCTATGGAACCAATGTTTGACATCTAAGACCTCTCGCACAACTAAAGAAGGCCACGGTTTCAGGACTACCTAGCATTTTTCTTAAAACTGTCTCACTCAAGGATTTGAAGACTCTCACCTTGTCATTTTGTTATCTCTTCCTCTCTCTTTTGTTCACCTCTCTCGACATACTTCACTAATAAACCTCTTTCCTTCCCCTGTTTGCTATAAATTACAGTTTTAGCTTTCTGTTTTTTGTTTTGGTTCTCTGCTCCTTTGCCTTTTTTGTTCACTGAGCTCCCATCTTGTGGGCTGCCTTTTACCACATCATGTGGTCTTTGTATTAATATAAAGTTAACCTTTCTCAAAAAATATCCAATATCTCTAAAAACGTGTTGAGACCTTACATGAGCAGGTATCCCTTCAGCTGCAATCCTAATTTTTTCCCTTTTTTGTGCATCAGGGGACATATCCCACTTCCTAGGATATAGGCAGCCGCAGCCTCCCATGCAAGAAAATATTTCCTCTCAAAGTCATGAGGTAGGCAATAGTTTTTTCGGAAAAAAAAAATGAGGTAGCTACTACTATGCATTAAGCTAATATGCAAAGGCTTTATATCACAAGAGAACTCTAACCATTTCGTAATACTTCTTATATTTAAAGGTAGCTATAAAGGAATCATCAAGCATTTAGAGACACTCCTCCAGTTTATGATTGGGGAAAAGTAATTTGAGGAACCGAGCCATCAAAAGGTATTTGTAGTCACTGAGAGGAGGTAGGTTTTAGTGGACCAGGCGATCTATTGGCCTGAGAATGAGCATTACTCACCTAATGATTGACGATTACAAAAAGTTGTCCTTGGGTTTGCAGTAACATTAGATTCGGACCTTCTAGTAAGAAATTTATGGTGAGTAGGTAGGATTAAGTGACGATAGTTATTATACAGAGGTGGTCGTTGTAAGACAGAAGACTGAGGAAGATGATGTAGAGAATTATTGGAACTCATAATGGGTCACAACATCACAAACTAACACACATGAAACAATGCAAACTCTGGGCACTAAAACCAATACCAAGCATCACACCCTCGGACACCACAAATTGAAAAATGTAGCCCTAATAAGGAAAGGTGCAATTAGATATCCATAGTAACACGGCGCCAAATCTCAATCTTGGTCTAGACAGCACTCTTGAATCATTGGAGTTTAATTAAAGGAAAAATTTTATATACGGTTGACACCTTAAAATGTAGAATTAAGGTGCACCTCAAAAATCCGTCGAAAAGGCCTATTTTGATGTTGGAAAAGTATCTAATTGATCATCTCAACATCAAGATGTATTGATATGAAGAAAACAAAGATTTCAAATCCCAATAATAATACATCTTGCAAGACATTATCTAGACCATCCATTTTCATGAATTTCATTCTTGTGTATATTTGCTCAATTTAAACCATTTTTTAAGTTTAAAATTTTATAATTAGAGATAAAAATAGATTCTTGGGCCATCCTAAAAATTTTCAACACCAAAATTGCATTTTATAACAAAGTTTGGAGGTGCACATTACTTTGATTGTTTAAGTTTGCAGCCTTATGCAAACCACAGCCTTAATTAAAAGCAAAATTTTGTCCTTTGAATCATCTATGTCAGAGAACTGATGCCCAAGCTAAAAGTGAAAGAATGTCAACTGCAAATGATTGCAAATTTTCCTACTAATAGGAAAGGAATTGTACCCGTTTTAACAACAGGGCAGCTCTTTTTACACTCTTGGCGGCATTTCTTGGGCTTGCAGCGATCAGAATTTACGATAGCAATACGAGTCAGTCGCTGATCTGCCATTTTCTCTTCCCACTATCACACTGTAATCAGAAGAACAACTCAGATAAAATAACCCGAATCGAAAAAGGAGCAAAGCACTCATAGTGTTTAAAAAAATAAAAGGCGCATGACAAACAAACGGTGTTTAAAAAAAAAAAATTAAGAATTCCATCCATAGAAAACAGAAACAAAACGGCCATCAAAAATAGATATTCCTCTTGTTGGTTTTTATGATAAGAAGTCGAATACATCACAAAAATAAGGATAGTAAAAAACCCAAGGAGGTAAAGAAGGTCAAGAGACCTTAAATAAACAGGGAAAATCGAAACGAGCGATACAATCCACTTTGACAAGAAAGCACAATAGGTAAATACAGATCTACTCAATTGGATTCATATGATGCAGAGAAAGAAGTGCTCTTGCGTGAGATGATTTGAAAAAAGGGCTAACCTCCTCGATCAAATATATACTGGAACTGCGATGGTGCGATGAGAAGAGAGAAAAAAACGATCAAGCCTTCTTCAACTCTCCCCTGGTTATCCAGCCTCCTTTAACTCTCCCCTGGTGCATGGGTGAAAATATAGGGCAGCCTAAGCGGAAAAAAAAAAGAGGCCGCGTTTGTTTACGTGGAAAATGTGCTTGAACTTTGAAACATCGGGGAAATGTTTCCTTGTGGTTTGTTTTGATTGTTCACCATGCCCACGCGGGTTTCTGCGTAGTTAGGTCAATAATAAAAGTATAGTACGGGAAATAATACTTTAATTATGAATACACTAGTTGATGAATTACGGGAAGGGCACCTAAATAAGCATTCATATAAATATAAATATGCAACGGAGAGCACATAGGTTTTTTTTAGATCGACTCATCTCTAGCCTCTAAACGTTATGTCTCTACCTATATCTCTCACTATTTTACATTGCATAAAATTATACCAAATTATTAATCATAAAGCATTTAGTGTTTATAAAAAGTCATGCTTTGATATTTAGAAATTGGTTATAAACTATTTAAAATATGTACAATTTGCTAAAAAAAAATATCAATTTTTATACTTTAAAAGTTCTCCAAAAAAAATAATTATAACTGAAATTTCAAACCATTAAAAAATTAAATACAAATATATAAAAATATAATAATATAAATTTCTAATTTATTTGAGATACATTAAATTTCTACTTCTAATTTCAAATTTTAAGAAAAGTTTAGTTTGCAAGGACTATATAAGCGTAGAATCAATAAATAATGCAATCACCCATCAAAATAAAGCATACATGAGTAGCATACAATATTAACTTTTTATGAGCTTTGAAAATCTCTTAAATCAATTATAAATATATTTTTAAAACCATTGAAAATATTGAAATTAGAAAAAAAATATAAAAAGTAAAAATTTATATCATATAAAATATTTGAAAATGTTATTTAATTTAAAATTTAGTTAAAAGTGATATTGTTTTTTTGGTAGTTTATAATTACATAATTTTAACTATTAACATTTTAGAATTAAGATAATGGAATAGTTTAAAAGTGATATTATGTTTTTGGTAGTTATAGACTAATCCAAAACTAAATATAAAGTATTTCAAATTATTGAATAACAATTAAAGTAAAAGAAATTATAGAAAATAGAAAGCATATCTATCCATGGAACTTAATATAGCCCAAAAGATATTTGTTTTATGGAACACTCCATGTTCACCAAAAACAAAAATTCAAATAAAAACTACAACATCAAATTTTATCGACATAGCATAGATAATAAATAGTACTCAAAACATAGAACCTCAAAAACTAAATCGTAAAATACTTATATAGAAAATGTTTGCTATAATTTATTAATAAAAATGCTAAAAATCATAATAAAGAATTTTAAGAATCATAAATATTTGTAAAATGCCATACATAATTTTTATGGAGCATTTAAAAGTATTAAATTTTTTGAAAATTGGAAAGAAGACCCAAAATGTCATTGAATAAAAATAAAAAAAGTTAGAATTATATACATAAAAATATAAACAAATTACAATAAAATTCATAAACATATCTACAAAAATAATCTAATGTTCTTAGCTTTCCAAGCATGCCTCTTACATGTAGGAGAAAGCCAAAGAAAGAAAAAGAAAAATAAATGAAATCATTTCCTTACAAAATAAATTTTGAATGATATTGAAAAAGAAGAAAAATAAATATTATTGACAAAAAAATAAAAAAGGGTTTAGCTTACATGCATAAGTGTTTCACCATAAAATTGAATATAAATCTAAAATAAATTCAATCAATTAGCTTTCTAATAATGATAAACTAAAAATATAAAATCCTCACGATAAAATTTAAAAGATGGGCATGTCTTATTTAAATATTGGATTTAGATAGAATAAAAGATCTCCTCAGTTACTTTAAGTTACCAATCCACGTGATACAAATAAAATATATGGAAAAAAAAAAAAAAGATAAGAGAAGATAAAATCAACATATAATAGACACAAACTTTATTGACAAAAACAAAATGGCAAATATATATTTGATCGCATAAAGTTGATTATGACAGTATGATCAATTACTTTAAAAGTAAGAAACATAATGTTAGGAGGAGACACAACTAGATTTATGTGAACTTATAAGATGAAAGCTTAAAAAGAAAATAAAAAAATTATAAAGCAACATCTCAAAGTGAATTTGAATTTTATCGTGCTTCACATTTGTCATTTTATAACAAAAAAAAACTAATATTACGAAGAGTTATAATTAGATTTATGTGAACTTTTAGGATAAATAACCAAAAAACAAACAATAGAATTATAAAGCAACGTACCATAGTGAAACTGAATTTTGTCACACTTTACCTAAGTGAAAACACATGCACTAAAATAATGCATCAATAAAATTTGGTCAAGAATTGATACATCAAATTAACAAATTTTAAGGAAAAATATCTTATTAAATAATCAAAAAATAATTATAAAATATTATATTAAATTATATAAAAAGTTAAATGTTGTTTAAAAGAATGTGAAGAATTAGGAAAATATTTGTCTCCTCCCTCTATCACCTTCCTTGCCGTCCTTCTAGGCTCTCTCACGCCTTCTCTCTCTCCCCCCTCTCGCACTCTCTCTCTTCTACCCCCTCCTCCCTCTCACACCCCCTCTTTTCTCTCTTCTACACCCTTTCTCACCCCCTCCTTTCCCTCTTATACCCTGCTCTTTGTACCTCTTAAAACAAAAGCTAATGTGATATTGGAGGGGATTTTTTTTTTTTTCTCACCCATTCTACTTTATTTTCTTTTGGCGAAGATCACATACAAATGGTTATTACAACAACTCTTTCTTCAAATAAAATAAAAACTTGCAAATTCAAGATCTTAAAAACTTTGATGCCACTGAACTTTTTTTATTTAATAAAAAAAAAAACCACAAATCTTGTGCTTGATAATATAAGGACTATACAATTAAATATGCAAAAAACAAAAGAGAATACTGGAGATTACCTCAACTGGGCTTAGTACACCCCGCACCGAGTCACCATCATCCGATGGTGTGGGATTGACGGTCTTCATTCAATCTCAACCGGGAAAACCAATTTCGATCAAACTCTTCAATATAACCCTTATGCTCACCTAGGACTCTTTAGGAACAATCCCCCAAAAACACTTGCTTTAAAATTTCTCCTTTCTAATTTTTTTTGCAAAGCCTAAAACTAGAGAGGGAATAGTGCATTGAGAATGGGGCGTGACCCTCCCATTATATAATGTTGGGGAAAGATAGAATGGGGTGTGCCCCCTTATCTTATTTGATAAAACATGATGAGAGAGAGTATGAGATAAAAACGGAGGACCTAAAGTAGGAGTTACGTGAGAGGGAGGAGAGAGAGAGAGTTCATTGGATGAAGTATGGGAGAGAAAGGTTTTTTGGATAACGTATGAGAGAGAAATATTTTTTAGATAAAGTATGAGAGAGAAATATTTTTTGGATAAAAGTACGAGAGAGGAAACAAGTTGAGTGAGAGATGATGACGTGAGCCCCATATTTTTTTCCCCTTTTTTTTCGTTAAAAGATAAAATTTGAGAGAGAAAAGAGAAATATAATATTGGATCTAGATTTTCATTGATTGCCTCACAAGATTAAATTTTTAACCGTCAATTAAGGGCGATTTGTGGGGTGAGAGATATGAATCATTCATTCCATAAATGGGCTATCAACATCACGGAATGTGTTGAACCATTATCCCCATTTCCTTTGATCATTATCCCATCAAATAAAAATTAATCGATAAAATATTGTGCTCTATCCAAAATATATATTCATAAGCCTTCTAGGCCTTCTAAAATATTTACTCAAATTTCTTAAGGCCAGTTTGGATGTACTTAAAATTGGACTATTTTTTTATTGAAATACAAAAATCTTGTGAAATGAAATTTGACCGTTTGGACAACTACACGATTTTGCCAGAATTTTAGATTGGAAGAAAAAAAAAATCGTGTCAAGGCAAAAATCACCATTTAAAAAAATTCAAGTCAGACTTGAATTTTTTCTGATGGCATTTTCCTTCGTCTCCTTCCACGCCTCTTATGCTTTCTCTCGCCTCACTCTCTCTCAACCCTCTGCTCTACGTCCATATCGTCTCGCTGCTCTATCTCGCCTCTCTCTCTCCTTTATCACCTCTCTGTTCTCACTGACAAAGCCTTCTATCTCTCTCAGTGACAAAGCCTTTTCTCTCTCTAGTTTTGGTGTTGAGCGAGAGAAGAAACTTGAGAGAGAGAGAGATAGAGTTGTAGCATGGACATTTAAACCTTGATCTCCATCTCTCGCCCCTTCTTCTGTCTCCTCACCTCTATGCACATTGAAGCCCTAACTCTACTCTTCACTCTCTCCCATATTTCTCAGCATTTTCCCTCTCCTCACCTCTCTGCACATTGAGAGCAAGCAAAAGCCCTAACCCCATCCCTCCCCTCGCTGAAGAAATCAAGTCAAGAAGACCAAGCACGAAGGAAGCAACAAGAACGCGAGGCATAGTTGCACTCCCTTCACAAAAACTTGAATTTTTTCAAATGGGTCGTCTCTCACTAACTCATGAACAACATAAACACCTAAAACCCATCTCTCTACTTTCTCTTTCTAAACTTGAGTCACCAAAAACCAATCACCCCAAATCCCATCTCTGTAAAAACCATCCATCTTTTGCTCCCAATCTTCAACACATAAAGAGTTAAAAACCCCAAATCCCATCTCTGTAAAAAATATCCATCATTTGCTCCAAGCTTCAACATCGAAACAACCAAAAACCCCAAGTCCCATTTCTGTAAAAAAAACCATCCATTTTGGTTGTAAAAAACCCTAAATCCCATATTTGTAAAAAACCATCAATCTTTGTAAAAAAACCCCAAATCCTATCTCTGAACCGGCGTACCTTTTCTTTTGATTCTAAGCCTGACCTCAGTTGCAGAAATGGAAGAAAATGGATGAGGAAGAAGAGTTTAAAAAATTGAATTGAATAAAATGGCTGAGGAATAAGAGTTGTATGGTCCGAAATGGAAGAAAATGGTAAAGAAGAGTTGCAAAAACTAGGGTTTGGGCTTTGGCCATGGTGCCATTTTCTCTCTCTAGATGTCAGTTGCAACTCATTTCCACTCCACCACCATGCTTGGCTAACTGCATAACTACAACACCAGCTTTGAGTGAGGCAAGCATTTCCTCTCTTTATCTCAAATGGAGCTGGTAAGACTTGTATGAGGAGAGAGCGTATGTTATTGTGAGAGAAGTGCAAATATGCCTCCCGTCCACCCTGCTTGAGCGCCCTGTCCCTCCGCGAAACTTATTTTAATATGTGCACACCATCCAAACAGTCCAACAAAATAATAAAAAAAATATGATAATATTTATTAATAAGTTTGAAAAAAATTACAATTTTTTTCAATGGGAAGGTTTTTTTATTCGATATCCAAACTGGCCCTTAAGGATAAAACACTCTATTAACTCAAACCAATTTAAGATATAATATAAACAAATCCAAAAATGGGTAGCTTGCCACCCAAGATAGGGACTCATGGGCCTCGGGTTCTAGAATATAGTGGGCCCATGTGCACAATGGGTCACCATAAAATTTGATATATTTAAAAATAATAAAAATAAAATTTAGAATATTATTTGAATATTTAAATCATTAAAAAATCAATATCTTTAATTTTATAAACCCAAATAAAATATACAGGGGTTTATAAAAATTCAAATAAATTTTTTAAAGTAATATCTTTCATAAAAGAAACATAATTAAATTAATTTGATGAAAAAATGATTCATATGGTCAAGGAACCAAATCAATAATGGGGTACTTCACCTTCAACTGTGGATTACAGACCACGTTTGCTTTATGCCCATGACCCACAGTCCAAACAGGGGCTCATTAACGGGTCACCAAAGTCTGGCCGATGAGCCAAGGGGTTACAATCCCCATCTGTAGATTTCAAGTTCTCCCATAGAGACGAGTCAATGTCACCTAAACCTGATGCGACCATAGCTCTATGACGCATAGAGGTATCTCTTGTACATGCATACACTTCACCCTAAAAGGTGGCTCGCTCGCTTTCTCGAACGGTCTATCAATATGCATGTCATGTGATGGTACATGGATGAGGTTTTGGTTTTCGTATCCATAAGCCACCATCATGCACAAGGGTTACACAGTCTCTCAGCTCACTCATCCTGGCATATACTCCGACCTCATCAAGGAATGACCCATTAGAACCCTTCTCGATTAATTTTTTATGCTCGGGTAACATAGGTTTTTTCCAACCGGCTGGCCTAGATCATCAAACACAGTCCGTATCTGCAAACCTCATTTGCATAATATGGTCTACGAAAGACCACACTCCGATTGAGTTCATGATGTATCCTCACAATCACTCATAATACCTTTAAAGGCCACATAAACCCACATCTCTTTCTCTACCCCACTCCCCCCCCCCTTTTTCTCATGCCCACCTCTCCTCCTCCTCCTCTCTCTACTCCTATCTCTTTCTTTCTTTTTGCGCTCTCTCTCTCTCTCTCTCTCCATATAGCCTCTCAAAACTCTCTTGTGATTAGGTGGTTTCTTCTCTACTCTCTCTCTCACCCCCCTCTCCAGCCTAGGATAAAAAAAAAAAAATTGTAAAATCTAATTGGTACCAACTTTAAGAGGTTAGAAAAAATAGGAGAAACAATATTAAGATAATGATGGATATGGAAATCGTTCTATCTTGTGCATTATCTCTCTAATTAAAATAGGTAAACAATGTTGAGATAAAGAAGTTGCTCTCTTTAGACTATAACCCGTAAAGTTTCTCTAAAAAAAAATGTAAACCATTTGAACACATAACATAGTAAACACAAAACCAAAAGTAAAGCATAACAGGGAACCATTACCTCAAAAAAGAAACTTAATCTATGAACCAATATAACAAAACTCGAGAGAAAACCAATAAAAAAATGAAGGAATTGAAATAAACCCAATAAACTAAAAAAAAAACCAAACAATCGAATGAGAAGAGAGAGAGAGAGCAATAAGTAAAATATTAAATGCATAGAGAGATAGAGACCAAGTTGAGAGAGAAGGAGGAGTAAGAGACGACGTTGAGAGGTAGAGGGAGAGGGAGAGGGAGAGGGAGAGATAGACCACATTAAGAAAGGAGGAAAGGTTAGTTTAAAATGTTAAAGGGCAGTGATTTCATGCAACGGTTGTATCATAGTATATACAACGACACTTTTAATAAACTATGTTTGTGGTATTTGTATGGCCCAAAATTTTGCATAGACACTCTCTTCATCTCAATAACTAATCCAAAAGAAAAAAAAGTTAAATTTGAACCTTAGATATGGTCAAAATGAGTTCTCTCCAAAAACAAATTTAGACCATTCATTTGGTGAATTTTAAGATCTTAGCCTTCATAAACTCAAAATCCTTTTGTTATTTTTTAACATTGTTCATCTAATGATAATAAAGCCATCAAATAAAACGGGAAATGAAAAATCCTTCAAAGATTTAGATCTAAGCATCTCACCAAAATGAACGGCCTATGTTAATTGGGCTAAAAAAATATTTTATAGGTAGTGTTTTCAATTTGGATCAAACAAATGACCATGACATGGTTTTTGAAGGTTGTTGTATCATATTACTATACAACCGTTGCATGAAATCATTATCCAATGTTAAGGAATGCTAAAAGAACGAGGGGTTGGAAAAAAAAAGAATCTTGCATACATATCGAATGAAGGATCATTTTTGAAAAAATTGCATGTATATCTTTTATGGTTTTCTATTGAAGGATCATTTTAAAAAAATTAGAATGCCTATCTCATAAAAAGAAAACGACGTGTGAGAGAGAGTAGTGAGAGAGATAAAGGCCGATGTTAGAGAGGGCGGAGTTAGAAAAAGGAACGAGGGAAAAAAGGAAGAAGATAAAATTCGCGAGGAAGAGAGGAGCTTAGAGAGAGAAAGTGCACAAGAGAGGGAATGCCACCAGTAGCTCTCTACTAAACCACGGAACTTAAAGAAGGAACTTCATCCCTACCTCACCCTCTCGCACCCTCATGCCACTGCATCCCATGCCTCTGCGTCGACTTCCACCTCCTCCTCTTCCGCAACTGCTCCTCTTCATCAGGTACTTCTCTCTCTCTAACCCCTCTTCTTCTCTCTCCCTCTGTCTCTAACCCCTATTCCTCTCTCTCCCCCTCCCTCTCCCTCTCCCTCTCCCTCTCCCTCTCCCTCTCCCTAACTCCAGGTACCTTTCTTTTTCCCCTAAATTTTTCCCCCCAGAAATTTCATTATTGGGCACTTTAGGGGTTCTTTTGTGGATAATGAAATGTTGAAAATTATTCGAATCATTAGTTTTGGGTGTGCTTTATCTTGCAGGGTTTCAAAGATTGAATCATTAATGGAGAAAATATCATCTTCTGATTTTAAAGTTATGTTTAGGGATATGGCAGAATACTTTTATGGTTTTCTTTTATTGGGCATTTTAGGGCTTCTTTCATGGACAATAAAACCAGAATGTTGAAAATTATTAGAATCATTGGTTTTGGAGTGTGCTTTATCTTTTAGGGTTTCAGATTAAATCAATGATGTATATTGCTTTTTCTGATTTTCTTTTCATTGTCTCTCTCTCTTTTGTTTTCTTTTACTATTTTTTTTTGTTGAGTTCTGAAAATAGAGTACCAGTTTGAGAGTTATTAGAGTTTTAATGCTATGAATGAGTCTTGAACTTCTAGGACTGTAAGGACAAGGGACTGTTAGTAAAAAAACAATGCATTTTCTTCACATATTTCTGTTTTTTTTCCTTTTGAGTACCAAACATATTAAATTTCAAGAAGAATTTGTGAATGAAATGTGGTTTTTCTTTTTTAGTAACATTTTAGGGTTCCAAAGGAAGTTGACTAACCCTGCAGACTGTATTCTCCTCCTCGCCCAACTGAATTGGGTTTTTTAACTGCTGTCTATGAGAACACCTTCTTAATGATGAATAGATGCCTAAGACATCTTGCTTTTTTCAGACTTTTTTTTGCAGATATTTTATGAATGGATGTCTATGAGATTGTTTTCTTATGAAAATGTGGATTTTTAGATGAAATCCTTAGTCTTTCTTAGGATATTTGAATGGATGCCTAAGCAGTCTTGCTTTTCAATCTCTTGCTAGATGCACTAAACATGCAATTCTTTAATTGTGTGAATGGATTCTTTCTTATTACTGTATCGATGGACATTAAAGATTGCCACAATCTGATTTGGATTTTTTTATTTGTTATCAAGGCCTTCACAACATCAAAAGAATGTAGTCATTTGGACAAAAATTAGTCCTTTGTTTATTTATTTATTTTTTTTCAGATTGTTGATGAGTGGATGTCCAAGATCTTTCTTTTTTCTTTGCTAGATGGGTATAAGTGCTTCTGTTCATCACAATCTATATCATCTGTTTTGTTCAAGGTTGTTTTTTTGCCAAAATTTGGTGTATTTGATTTGCTATTGACAATTGAAGGAATGGATAGTTTATGGCGTGAAATTTATTGAAGTACTTGTTTTTAATTTTTTAGGGAGTTTTTCATTTAATCTCTATTGTCATTTTGGGGCTTGAATGATTGTTATGGGAAACCTGTGCTCTACATTTTGCAACTTTCACTATCACTTGCTAATCTTCCAGCATGTTATCAAACAAAAAAACCAAGAACTTCTTTAACTTCCCAGGAGGTTATCAAACACAGAAACCAAAAACTTCTTACAATAACTTCTATCTTCCCAGCAAGGAGGAACGTCCAATTTATAGTTCATGAACTTGCTTCCAGTTATCAAACAGGCCCTTAGAGATAGAAAGGGCACAATTGGAGAAAACCAGAAAATATTAATAAAATTATATTGGATATGTTGAATAAGAAAAGTACCCGGTTTCTATGCAGCCAAGCCTGCATATGTACAAATGCGGGCCTCTTACTAAATCTATTTTGGAGATGGATTTTAAGGCTTAATTTTTAAGGACATGTAATCTCTAACATGGTGATCATGAATATGAAAAAATAAATAAATTTTAAAAACTAGAAATAATAATTCTAGAAATAAACATTAGTTTCCATTGTTTTTAGATAGAACACTTTCTTGCATCCATCTTTAAGATGTACGCTTCACACATTCTGGACGGCATATGTAGAAATGTGGTGCAGCCCGCATGAAACAATTTTCTATAAGAAAAATCAGAAACTAAAACTGGGCAATTAATTCCAAGAGAGTATTCACCTAGATAGATATCAAAATCTCATGTTATGATTGGCATTTTTCAAAACCTTGGTACTAATGAGGATTGGATTTAATTTGTTTGAAGCATATACTTCGTGAATAATATGTTGCTTTTTATGAGCCAAATTAGACTACTGATAAAGAAAGTAATTTTTTAGGGAGAAGTGTTGGTATGCTTATTCCTGTGGCCAGGCAAAGGTAAAGTTCGGCCCGCATTTTGATTGTGTTTGATATCTGCTGGCAACAGCCGGTGAGCCCAGATTTTGCCGGTTGGTATATACACTTGTACTCTATGCTCAACAAGTGAAGTGAAATCTCTTCTCTTGCTTGCTCAATATCGTTTCTTCATGGCGGTTCGTTCCGTTTCTAAATTCCCTCCTCTTTTTTTGCCCATACTTCGTTCTTTCATACTAAAATCGACAGATGCAGCTCCATTTTCATTATCACCATCTCAGGCTTATGTACTAGCAGTTTCTCAAGAATCTCTGAAACATTTGAGGAATCATGACGAACTATTTCTAGGGTTTGCAATGAGATGCTATCATGATGGCAGGCCTAGGGGGCCTCTATGGAGAGGGAAGAAACTAATAGGAAAAGAGGCTCTCTTTATTATTTCAGGTCTCAAAAGGTTTAAAGACGATGAAGGACAGCTTGACAAGTTTGTAAAATCTCATGTCTCCAGGCTCTTGAAGATGGACATGGTTGCTGTGCTCTGTGAGCTTGAACGTCAGGAAGAAGTCATACTTGCACTCAAGGTTAGGGATTTTCTTGTAAATCTCTATCTCATTTTCCTTCTTTTGTTTTTTTTTTCTGAAAAAGCTCATTTTCCTTCTGTTCTCTTTCTACTTCGTGTTGACTGGAGTGCAGTCATGCTCTTTTCATGGATGAGATTGTTTTCTTTTTCTTTCCTATATATTTTTAATTGATTGAATTGACTACTTTCTCTCTTTCTCTCTCTCTCTCTCTCTCTCTCTGTGGTTGTTTGTATGAGAACGTGGCAATTTTCTATCTTATTTCTGAAATGTCTAAAGAACCATTATTTATTAACATGCCTATAGCTCTATACCAATATTGCCTGTTGGGATGCTTAAAGAAAAGATGGTACCTTTTTAAGATGTAACCATTGTTGCTCTAGCAAGGGGGGCTATTTGTGAATGGTGACTACACTGAATTGTATTGAATCATCCTGTCTAACATTGATATATGTTAGTGCTGCCTAGTAGTGCATATTTGAGATCTCTAGTGTTACAATATGTCTTTTGGCATGAGGGAATATGTAGTTTGTCCTCGATGCTGTCTTTCTAAAGAAACTGATAGCTAATCATTTATTAATCAGATCCAATAATTTCAGTTCAAAATTATGCTTTCTTGCCTCTCCGAATTGCCATCAGTTTCCCATTTTTTGAATTCTTCAATTATTGTTCGCTTATTGATTGCAAATACCATGGCATTGGAAGCTAAATGGGCATTTTCCAAGTGGGATCTCTCTCTGTGCCTGTTTTCTTCAGCTTTGTATCCATATTGTTTCTCTAGTTATTAGCGTAATGCTGTTTTTTCAACTCCTGTGTTTGCCGGTTGGTTGTTGACAACAATGGCTATCGTATGATGCAATGCCCTTTGGAAGACATGCAATCCTAATTCATTTCAATCTCAATGATATACATTTTAGTTTTATATGTTTGTCTAATTGAGGGTATGGCCCTTGATAGAGCAGAATTGTGGAATAGGATTCTTGCAGCCGACCTAAATAGTTGGAATAAGGCTCATATGATGATGATTGTGTATGTCTGCATGTTTGTATGTGTGGTTAGATGTCTAAGCACATATTTGTGACTGTGTTGAAACATCTTCCTTTTCTTAGATTATAGAAAAGTTTATGTTTCTATGCACATTCCTGCACACGTGCGCACTCCGGCACACAGTCTCATATGTGTTAGGAAATGTGGCTCGGATGCAGAACTCAGGCCCTAGATTTGGAGTGGCTTGAGTGATCTGAGTTGGCTCACCCACATCCATGCCCAGCCACCCAAGGAGCCAAGTAAATCTTGAAAAAATTGGGAAACATATGAAAAATAAGAAAAATTACAAAACAAAAAATAAATTTTTAAGCATAAAACATGGAAAATGACAGAAAATTGATGTTATTGGTCTGTACTCAACTGAAATATCTAAGATTAGAATGCATTGCTAAATGACAGTGTAATTTATAATTTTCTATTATTCTAGTACTAATTCAAATGAGAACCATCAATTTCCACCTCAACTTGAATAGTAAAGAATTAAAGATTAAGTTACTACATCGTTCTACACTCTACAATCATACTAGATTGACAGTCTCAGAGACATAGATTCACCGTCTCACAGAGCACTCCAACACAAAAATCACACTACATTCCAGCAACAAAAGGAGCGTTGGAGGCACATGGACCCTCCGTGTCAAGGAGGGGTCCCTCCCAAACATCTGTGTCATTGTGGGAGTGGTCCCTAACCCAAAGTCACCAAGACCAGTGTAGCCCTCATGTTCCCTGCCACCTTGGCTTTGTAGCTCACCATGTTGGCTTTGTTGCTCACTATGTTGGCTTCATCGCCCAGCACCTTGGCCCTTCTCTTCATGGGAGCCCCCACTGGCACTGTCCTCTTCACCTTCTGGCTGTGGCTCCTGCTGAGTCTCCTCGAAACTCCTCTCTCCTTGGACGTCATTTGGCTAATCAACCAACTCGATCTTCAATGGCTGCTTTGTTGATTACGGTTCTTCTCACTCCTCTGCCCCTTTTCTATTGGATCCTCCTTGACTATGTAGTCCGAGTAGATAGGATCATAATTCGTCACCTCCCTCTTCGTCTGCCTCATCCTTGAATGTAGATTATATTGCATGTCGAGGAGCTTGTGTAACCTCTTAGTTTTCAACCTGTTCATCCTTGGCATGGATCCACTACAGTGCACTCCAATTTCTCTTAAAACCCCATGGGCAAACAAGTTTGATTGAGGAAGGAGGATTTGATTGGACTCCTTAAATGGGGAATGCCACTGTCATGCACTTCCCACCATCTTGCTGAACATAGAGAATAAATTAGTCAAATAGGAATACAATCGCTTATGGTAATTATATTGGGTTTATGACTCATGGGAAGCCAACCTAGTGTAAAGCCCAAGGGCCAATCATATGAAATTTGGTACATCCACTCTTTTCATCAAGGCGCACCTAATAAAAATATTTAAAAAATTATTATAAAAAATTCAATTGACCAAAATACCCTTGAAAACTTTTCAGGGGTATTTTGATCCATTTAAATTTTATGAATTATTTTTTTGATATTTTTATTAGATGTCGTATTTTTTAAGAATAGTTGCTCCAAATTTCAAGTGATTTGGATTTGTAGAAAAGACATTAAAATTCAATTATGAAATATGATCCTAGCCATTGGATCGGCCTAGATTCAATTTGACCCATTGGGCGTTTACTATAGCTATTAGCTAGCAGACTGACCTCATACTCTCCCATTATGTAATATTATATATTATATAATATCATAAATTATGTTAAATTATATAATATTATATTATTATAATAGATAACTTATAAGCCCCACCCTTTTTTATATTGGGTTCCTCCTGTTTGGTAGCCTATTTTTTTGCCGAGAGGCCTGGCTTGTGGGCCCTCTCGATGGAAAACTGTAATATTTCCTTTTTACTTAATGCAACCATTAACTTCATAAAAAAAAAATATTATCATATTGTTATGTTACAATATCATAATATTATATAATGTTAATATTAATATTAATGTTATTATATTATATTTATTGTATATTATTACAATATTATATTATATATAATAAATTATATATCACCGTATAATTATAATATAATGTATTATTATTATTCTTATAGATAATTTATTATATTATAATATAATATTATGATATTATATTATATTTATTGTATATTATTACAATATTATATTATATATAATAGATTATATATAAGAATGTTATTATAATATAATATTATATATAATAACATATAATATTATGTATAATATATGATATATTTATTGACTATAATGTATTATCATATCGATCACATTAATATATTATAATAAATAATAGTATAATATAATAAATTATAATATAATTTAATAAAGTATTATATATAATTATATTATATCATAATAATCTATTATAATATATTATCATATTATATCGCATTAATATAATATATATAATATAATATTATTATATTATTTTTATTAATTATATTGTATTATCATATCATATCACATTAATATATTATAATAAATTATAATATAATATAATAAATTATTATATTATTCAATATATTATATTATATATCATATAATAATATACATATAATAATATAATATATATTATATTATAATATTACATATTATAATATAATATATATTATATTATAATATTACATATTATAATATATTGTAATAGTATTATAATATGTTATAATGTTATATTATGGTATATTGTAATATATTAATATATTATAATATAGGAAAATGTTTAAATAAGATCGCAACCTTAAAATGTAGAATTAAAGATGCACCTAAAAAATCCATTATATAAGGTTGTTTGGATATTGGAAAACCCTCTAATTGATCATCTCAACATCAAGATGTATGAATATTAAATGAAAAAAGGATTTGGAGTCCGCAAAATAGTGTATCTTGCAACACATTATGTAGACTGTCCATTTTTCATGAGTTTCATGTGCTTATAGATCTACTTGATTTGAACCATTTTTAAAGTTTAAAATTTTATAATTAGAGATGAAAATAGATTCTCAAGCAATCCTAAGAATTTTTAATATCAAAATTACATTTATGATAAAATTTAGAGGTATGCCTTAATTAGATTGTGTTAAGGTTGCAACCTTATGCAAACCACACCCTATAATATATTATATATAATATAATAATATATAATATAATAATATTGTATTATGATCAGGGGGATGTTTTATAATTGAGCCATCCTTTTCTTTTTCCTTCTCTCTTCCGCTCTACCCTTCTTCTTCGTCCCTGCTTTCCCTATTCTCTCTTCACCTTCCTTTCCTACTCTCTTCTCCACCTCGCCACGCATACTATTCTGACCTCTCAACCCTTTCCCTCCTCTCCTCGCTCTCTTCCCTCCTCGTGTCTTTCCTTTTCTCCTCTCCTCCCTCATTTCGTTTTTTCGCCTGGCCTTACCCCCCCCCCCCCCCCCCACGTCTTTCTCTTCCACCTTTCTTTCTACTTCATGCAACAATTGGGTTGAGTGCACACTCCAAGCACCTACCCCTTTTGGATTGAGTAGCTGCCCCTTTCTGACAGACAGCGGGCCTGCCCCTGCAAATAGAACCTGACCTGCAAAGCTGCCCTCTGCTCCGTGCTTCACAGCTTCCGCTACCTTCTGAAGAACACCTTTTCGATTTTAAGTTTTTTTTTGTTTGTCAAGAGATATAGCTACCCATCTTTTTGTACTTCGCCCTCTTTTACTCTTTGCGTCTCTTTTCTTTTTCTTCTCTCTTTTCTGTACTCGGAGCACCCAGTTTGTGGGCTGCCTCTCTCTTTTGTTTTGTACTACTATTATTTTATTCAATAAAGGTAACCATTCAAATATAATATTATTATATGTGTTGATGATTTGTAACTTTCTCTGAAAGTGGCAGCACAAGGGTGCCTATGGTTTTCCACATCCCTCAAGGGAATAGTGAAATGGGGAAAAATAAGTTCTGACTTTCC